GTGGGGTGTATACCTTTCTCGGCCTTTTGGCTAAGATCAAGTGTAGTATCTGTTCTTTTTTTTTTTTTTTTTTTTAATCTCTTCTGATCAGTTTACTATCTGATCTGTGGTCCATCGGACCACAATTTAAAAAAAAAAAGAAAAAAAGTGGGGTGTTCTGACTGCTGTGTGTGCCATGCATACGGCTGCATTTCTGACCATGTGCAACGCAATGGTGGAGAAGGCGGCATTGGGGAAGGAAAGAGATTAAAAAAAAAAAAGAAAAGGTGGATGAACAAGGGGCCTACGACGTACTACAATACAACTATGGTAGCAGTGTTGAGTTCCGTCGGTGTGTGAACTGAATCGGGATGTTCGCAGCCAGGTATGGCTGCGCTTAGGGGGGTTGCGACTTTCTTCACATCTCCACAAAAGCGTCTAGATTCGGGCGCTGACGAAACTTTCTGTTTTCGAGAATTTTTATAGACGGGAAACGCGGCATGTACAGCGTCGTTGCGCGTCGAACGGTTGGGCATATATCTCGACGGGTTGGGGGGGGGGTTGGAGCGGGTTGGCCCCAAAAAAAAAACGTTGGTTCAGAAAAAAAAACATCCGGTACCCGACTTAAGTATGGGCTGGATTCTTATCGGCTCTGTGTACTTGTCCGCATGCGCGCCTAGATTCGTGATTCGGGCGTTGTTCTGGCGGCAATCGTAGTCTCTTCCCGTAGGTCTGGCAAACCGTGTGTGCGGCCAGGTAGGGCATGTCAATGGCAGCGCGTGAGTGCCATGGTCTTTGGAGAGCGGACAGCGAGAGTGCGTGCGGGCGAGAGAGGGCGGTCGGAGGGAGGTTTCAAAATCGCGCCGGCGACGTGGAGACAGGCAAACAGCGATTTTGTCAAAACGGACATTTTATATTTTTTGAACGAAATTGAAATTGTCATTTTTTAGCTGATTTAGGTGCAAAAACCATTACAAAGAGATGTTTGGTGTAAGGTGTAAGGTGTAAGGTGTAAGGTGTAAGGGGTAAGGGGTAAGGGGTAAGGGGCAAGGTGTGAGGTGAACGGGGTAAGGTGTAAGGGGTGAGGTGTAAGGGATATGTGGTAAATTGCAAGGGTCAAGTGGCACA